CCCCGAGTATCCCCGAGTGTCCCCAACTATCCCCGAGTGCCCCCAACTATCCCCGAGTGTTCCCGAGTGTCCCCGAGTATCCCCGAGTGCCCCCAACTGTCCCCGAGTGTTCCCGAGTGTCTCCGAGCGCTCCGCGGGTTCGGGCGGGACCCCCGCGCGCAGCCCCGGCCAATCCCGCAGCAGGGGGTGCTGCTCTCCGCCAATCCGGCGCCGCCAGCTCCCGTCCTCAGCCAATCACAGCCCGGCGGAGTTAATATAAGCCCGTGAGACGGGCCTCAGCGTTTCCTGTCGGGTGGGGTCGCGGCGCGGAGCGGAGGTGGACCCTGCTGGGGGCTCTGCAACATTGAGCGGCTTTCACTTCCTTCAGCGCCCCTTCCTGCCGAGCTGATCTTAACCTCTAAGTCCCTCGTGTGGACCCCAAGGCCACAGGGGTCCCCTGGGCTGCAGCTGTTGGGGTCCCGCAGCCCCCGGTGCTGCCAGGGCACGGCTTGGCCATGGAGCTCCCACCTCCAACTGCTCCATGGAGCTCCCACCTCCAACTGCGTGGCCATGGAGCTGCCCATGCCCATGGAGGGCACTGGGATCCCATCCTGGCACCAGGATCGGGGTGGGGGGCACTGCCAGGCTCTGGGCAGGACAAGGACAAGGACACCAACCACCCAGGCAGAGCTGGCCCAGTCGAGCAGGGCCGTATCTTACACACGTACATAAATACAGTTCAGGGGGAGGAAACACCCAGCTGCTCTCCAGAGGCTCCCACACTGATCGTGCCCGTGGGATCCTTCGTGGACCACGTTCAGGTCTCCTTGGGAGGGAGGTGGGGTGGTTCCCCCGTGATGGAGAGGTTGATGCTCATCCCTCACACCAGCAGCTGGGGCACAGAGGCACTTGGGGTGCAGCGTGGGTGGGGTCTGGGGTCTCCTGCCCCAGTGTGGGGACGGTGGCACGGTGTCCCCATCCTGCACCTCTGCCCCTCACAGCACCTGGATGTCCCAGATCTGCGTGGCTCTTTCATCAGCCATGTCCCAAACGATGGCGTGGTCCCGGTCGTAGCTTTGGCCGCCTGCAGAGCGAGGGAAAGGTTTGGGGAGGGCAAACCCCACTCCTGACGGTGCTGAAGGGGTGGGCGCCCCATGGCATGGCCAAACACCCCACTTTTGGGCATCCCTGGGAAAGCAGCCTCTGTACAGGGCTGAGGCCTCACCCTTGACATCGAGGATCATGTCCTCGAACATCTGGCTGTGGATCCGTCCCCGAGAATCGACGCTCCAGGTCTGACGCGGCATCCGCGTCTCGGACCACAGCACGGCCTTCGCGCCCTTCCCGGCCGGCCCGATGACCTGCAGGCTCATGCTGGGGGCCACCTGCAAGGGACACAGAGGGAGGGATTTCCCTGCAAGCTCAGCTGGTTCCGTGCTGGGATGTGGGATGAGCAGGGAGACCCCTCAGTGAGAGGTGGGGGTGATGAGGGTGACAAAAACTCCGCAGGGAATGCAGAGATGGCCTCACATCTGCAGGGGAGATTCAGGGAGGAGAATCACCAGATCTCTGGGGACCAGGCTGGGATCAAAGGCCGGGAAAAGCTGTTACAAAGCCTGGGAGATGGCTGTGGGGTGGGGAGGAGTCCTGCCAGAGGCTGCCCTGGTCCCCTCGGTGGCGCTGGCTGTCACACCTGAGCTCTGACCTGGTTTTTGATCAGCCCGTCCTCGTAGTACCAGACAGAGCTGCTCTGCTCGCTCAGGCTGGAGACCACCACCCGCCCCGCCTTCATGTCCTCCACATCGTCAGGGACCGAGAGGAAGAGCTCCAGCTTCCTGCTCCTGATGCGGAAATAAATCCGTCTCTGCAACGAGAGGAACCTGACGTTTGCACCCCAAAACCTGCTGCCTGCACCTCCAGGACCTCACCTGGCTGGGGCTTTGGGAAGGGAGGGAGGATCTTGGGGATCTCCCCATTGTCCTCCCCCCAGGAGATGCCCAGGTGTCCCCAGGGCGATGTGACCGTGACCTGTCCCTGGTAGCTGGCACGGGCACGGCTCACCACGCTGGATTTTACGAGGCAGCTGCCCACGGGGAGCGTTTCGCCACAAAGGCGGCCACTCCCAGGGTGGGGGACAGGAATGCGGGGTGACGGCGGCACCTTTCCCGTGTCACAGCTGGGACCTGTAGGCTGCTGCTCTCCAGCTCCCCCAGCCCACCCCGAGAGGGCTGCCAGCTCCATCTCCACGCCAGCCTCGTGTCCCGGGGTTTTGGGGATCACCTCAAAGCAGGTGATGCTCACCTGGCGGATGGGGTAGAGGGACCCCACGTGCTGGAGCCCGCTGTAGGTCAGCCAGTTGGTGATTTCCGTGCAGTCCAGCAGCCACTGCCGCCCTCGGAAGTCACCGTGCTCGCACAGCACCCAGCTGTGGGGACAGGACGGGTCACCCTGGGCGGGCAGGGGACACCCGCCGGCCACTGGGGGACCAGGGCTCACTTACATCCCTCCCTTGACCCGCACCGACAGCACGTGGTTGTTGAAACCCTCGGCCTGGAGACTCCGCACCTCGGAGTTCAGCTCGATCTCCTTCCCCTCGAAACACTCCAGCCCGTGCAGGAAGATGGAGGGCTCCGAGAAAAACTGGGATCGGAGAGGGCAGGGGGAGAGGAGTGAGAGCTCCAGGGAGCAGCAGAACTCCCGTGAGAGGGGAAAAACATTCTGGGGGAGGAGGGAAGGGAAGGGAAGGGAAGGGAAGGGAAGGGAAGGGAAGGGAAGAAGTTCACCAGTGGAACTTTCTGCAGGGAGCGGATGGCGGTGGAGCAGAGGCAGCCCATGGCACCAAGCGTGGGGTACTCGCCCTCGGACAGCACGTGCTGCTCCCCCGCAAAGTCCTGCCCGTCGAACAGGATCCAGCTGGTGGGGAGGAGCATTCCCAGGCTGACAGAGCCACCGTAGCGGGCATCCATCCCTCCTGTGACCCACAGCACCCCCATCCTGACCACCCTCTGGGGCTACCCAGGGTCCAGTCCCCATCCCGCTCAGGACACCCTACCTGCCCCCACGGACTCTGCAGGAGCGTGGGATGAAGGCTTCGGGCAGGGCCTCCTGGTCCTCCTCAAAGGCAACCTGATCCCCCAAGAAGTCAGGCTCTGAGAAAAGCAGGATCTGGGGAGGGGGAGCAGAGGGGCTCGGTGAGGGGGCAAAGCATCACCTCCACCCCACAAGGGGTTGCATCCCCCTCCCCATCCAGCACCCCTGACCTTGGAGACGAAGTGGAGGTTGTGTTCCCTGACCTGGAAGCAAACAGAGCGGAGCTGGTGGGTGTCTGGCCGTGATCCCCACCAGCCCCGGGGGTCCCACGAGGAGGGGGTGTCCCCTCACCTGCAGGATGGGCTGTGCCGAGGCGATGTGACAGTCGGTGGCCCCCCAGTCCTCGCAGTTGCGGTACACCCCCTTCTCCAGGATGTACTGCTCGCCGGAGTAGTTGGGGCCCTCATAGGCCACCCAGCTGTGGGGAGGAGGTGAGAGCTGCCTCATTCCCTCCCCGGGCCCCCCTGCTCCATCCCCACGCTCACACACACCCCACACTCACCCCACACTCACACTCACACTCACACTCCGCTCAGCACGTGGATGGACTGGGTGACGCTGCCGTAGCCAGCCAGCCGCGTGTCGGGGATCGCCTCACTCAGCTCCACGCTCGCGCCCTCCTCGAAGTCCATGGCCTCAAACAGGACCAGGGCCGGGTCAGAGAAGTCCTGCAGGGACAAGGAGCCCCCCAAGCCCCAGGGTCTGTCAGGTGCAGGGGCTGTGGGTGGGACACACGCAGAGCCGGGCTCCTGCCTGGCCTCGAGCACCCCGGGGAGGGTGGGAGCAGCTGCCGAGCCTTTGCTTGGACAGGTCTGCGGGATCTCAGCTGCCTGGCACAGGCAGGGAAGGCTCCCTTTGGGGGTGCCCAGCTCTCTCTGCCCACACCAAACCCATTCCAAGAGATTCCCGTCCCTGCCCTCACCGTCCGGATCAGCCGTAGGGACACCAGCTCCCTGCTGTAGCCGCCCCACTGCCTCCAGTCCTGGTACTCCCCTTCCTCCAGCAGGTACTGGTGGCCACGGAAGCCTTCCTTCTCGTAGCCAACCCAGCTGTGGCACAGGCAGACACAGGCAGTGAGGACTCCAGAGGATTTCCACGTGCTGGCCCATGGGGACACCATGCACAGCCTCTCTCCCAGGTGACCCACAGCCATCCCACAGCCCTTCCCAAGGGTGAGCATCACCTTCCCAGGCTGCTCCAGCCAGGATGCCAGCCCTGCCCTCCCTGTGCCACTCACCAGCCGCCCAGGACACGCAGGGAGCCCACGGTGGGCAGCGCTGGCTCGGCCAGGCACTTCAGGTCGTAGATGTCTCTGCTGATGGTGAAGCTGCGGCCCTGGAAAGCTGCAGCCTCGTAGATCAGCACCTGGGACGGGTGAGAAAGGTGAGAAAGGTGGGGTGAGGATGGTCCCACAGCCGTCCCAGCCCCTGATTCCTGGGACCTGCCCCAGAGCTCACCTGTGGCTCTCCAGGTCTCTCCACGACGGGGCAGCCCTGGAAGGAGGAGCCCCAGTGAGGGTGTGGTGGCAGGAGGGGACATTGCAGGGACACCTGCTGCCATTCTTTAATAAAGCCTGAGCTGGTTTTTGGGTCATTCTCATTCAAGAAGCTCTTTTGGAGATTTGCCTCGCCCCTAAGCCACAGGAGCACTTTCCAAAGCCACTCTTGGCCTGTTTCCCACAGTGTGATCTCACTGATGGCAATGAGGAGCTGCCAGAACTCAATCACACCTGGATACAGCCCCAGCACCCCTGGAACCACCCCAGGAGCCAGCACTCACCAGCCTGATGGGATGCATGGAGCAGATGGACGGGTCCTTTGCTCCCCAAGCCTTTAAATTGGGGTACCCGCCCGGCTCCAGGACGTAGGGATCGTCATCAAAGAACGGCTTGGAGTAAAGCAGCCACCTGGGGAAGGAGGGGAAGGCATCACACCCTGCTCCCATTGCCCTGGAGCCCTCCTGGCAGCCCCCAGCCGCTCACAGGCCCGAGTGGACGATGATGGAGGCGGCAGCGAGCGCCTGTCCCCGCTCTCGGGTGTCCTCGGCAGAGCCGCTGAACCTCAGCCGGGCTCCTTGGCCGTTCTCCTCCGCGAAGAGGCTGATCTCGGGGGTGCGGTAATCCTGGGGGAACAGCGGCGTTCCGGGCTCCGGCCCCTCTGCTTGGAGGGCTCGGGGAGGCTCCGGGGGGGTCCCGCACTCACCCGCACCACCCTCTTGAAGGAGCCGATGTGGAAGGGGCGCCCCCCGCGCTCCCCGCTCGCCCCGTACGCCGTCCAGGGGTTGTCGATCTCCACGTCCCCCTCGGCCAGGACGCATTTGCGCCCTCGGAACCTCGGCTTCTCGTACATCACCCACCTGGGAGCGGGGAAGGGGGAAAATCCAGCCTTACCCGCGGCCCTGCGCTGCCCCCGGGGTAATTAGCGCGCTGCCACCGCCGCGGTAATTAGCGCCGGCAGGACGGTGGCTCCCGGAACCCGGGATGCGACCTGGCCACATCCCCGGCACGGTGTCCTACCCGCCCCGGATGACTCGGATGGAGATGGTGTGTGAGAGCTCCCAGGACGTGGCGTCGGGAACATCGTCCCAGATGTCGCGTTTGTGCCCCGCGAAGCCGGCACCGGAGTACAGGATCATCTGCGAACGGGACATGCGGGGAGAAGTGCTGCCACACCGCGCCGTGCCCAGCCCGGCCCCAGCGCCCTCCCTGTACCTTGCCAGGCCTGGTGTTGATCTTCTCCATGCCCTCCTTATCCTCCTGCTGGGAAGAGCCGAGGGGACGGGCGGGTGAGGAGCACGCAGCGACATCGGCTGCTGCAGCCATCTCCCTGCAGCCCGAGGGAGCCGCAGCCTCGCGTCTGGCGTCTGCCAGGCCCTCCCATCGCCCCAAGCAGCCACACCTCGAGCGTTCCTGCCCTGCTGGGGTTCAGCCTCCCGTCTGCCCCCGACCCTCCTCTCACCTGCCCGGGACCTTCCCAGCAGCCGTGGTGGCACCCTCCCATCACTTGACCTCGTATCCACCCATCCCAGTATCCTCCCATCGCCCATCCCAGTACCCTCCCATCACCTATCCCAGTATCCTCCCATCACCTATCCCAGTATCTTCCCATCACCTATCCCAGTATCCTCCCATCACCTATCTCAGTATCCTCCCATCACCCATCCCAGTATCCTCCCATCACCCATCCCAGTATCCTCCCATCACCTATCCCAGTATCCTCCCATCACCTATCCCAGTATCCTCCCATCACCTATCCCAGTATCCTCCCATCACCCATCCCAGTATCCTCCCATCACCCATCCCAGTATCCTCTCATCACCCATCCCAGTATCCTCCCATCACCTATCCCAGTATCCTCTCATCACCTGTCCCAGTATCTGCACTTTCACCCCGTGGCCTCTCTGACAGGGAGCACGAGCCGTGTGTTGGGAGCAGGGAAGGAGGCCCCAGGGCTCAGCCCCCACCCCTTCCCACACTCCCGGGCAAGGAGAGCATTCCCCAGGGCTCCGTGTTGGAGCCACTCACCAGGACGTGCTCGAGGCTCAGGGTCACGGTGCTCTCCGGCTCCTCGGTGGCAGGAGGGACAGAGCCAGAACTGAGGCCTTCCAGCATGGCCATCTCGGGGCCGGAATGGCCCGCAGGGCTCAGCCCATTGTGGTCCCCGAGGCAGGGTAAGTCTGTGGCCCCGTTGCTGTCGGGCAGCTCGAGCAGGGCGGTGCTGGGGGACACGAAGCGGCTGTAGAGCACACTCTTGTCCAGGCGGGAGTAGGGCTTGCCCTCGTCAGCTCCAGCTGCCCGCTGCTCCAAAAAGTGGGAGAGCAGCGCCATGCCCTTGAGGACGTTCCCTCGGAAGAGCACACTGCGCTCGGCCGGGCCGTCCCTGGGCTCCCCACGGAGGGTCCCCGCAGCCGCCCGCTCCTCGGGGCTCAGGTAGGGGTTCTCGATCTCCTCCT